ACTCCATTCAAATTGATTTTAGTTTGAACGGGATCCTTTAAAAAAACCGGTCCATTGACACTCCATGAGATGGAATCAAGGCCATTTGATTTGGGTTGTGTTTAGTTGGTATAGTACTTTTGAAAGACAATGGAGAAATCTATGGGGTGGTTGCGAAAATAATCCAAGGCGGTGATTATTAATTAGGTTGCACTTCTTTTGTACAATTGTTGGATCGGGTTGATATTCAATAAATGGGTATAGTCTCTTCAAAGGGACATTTTTGGTGTATAGAGAGAGAGAACAATAAATGAATAAATAAATAAATAATGAGCCTACAAAATTGATAAACAAACAGTAACCTAAGGAGATTGCAAGTAGAGGTTATTATGGGCAGGTTGCGCAACTCAGGTTTAAATATATTGGGTGAACTGAGGGCTGAGCCTACCAACTACCAAGTATAGAAGTTCTGGGCCCTTGTGGGTCCATATCATATTTTTAAGGCCTGTGGCAGGCTGGGCCTGGACCAAACAATTAGTCTGAAGCATGAAAAATTTACAGACGAGATGGGCCAGGCTTGGAATGAATCCCCGCTGACAAACGACGATGGAAGAATTATTGATACAAAGATCATTTGTATTTAATAAAACATTAATACTTCAACAACCGAAATATGGTAGGAACTCGGGCTCAATCTGGCATTCTTTAATTGTTGAGGAATTCTGTTCTTTATGCTTGGTTGAATCTGGCTAGATACTTAGACAGGTAAAGCCAATGCCCAATGGGCCAGTCGGAAAACAAATTAAAACCATTCATCTGATTTGTCATGTCTCATGTGTGTGTTGGAGCAGTTGGTTAAAGTTAAATTATTATGAAAAAACTGCTGCAATGTTGACTGATGACTCCTTCAGTCGGCCTTTCTCTCCGTCCTTCCATGCCATAATGTCTAATATACCCCCATATGTTAACCAGTGGGCTCAGACGATTGGACGGACCACTTCTCCCAAAATACAAAATTGCCGTATACAAGCAGAAGCAGGTAATGGAAACATAAAACCATCAATAGAAAAACATGGACGAACAATAGATGAACTTGGTTCTGGTTAAAGGATCTGGACCTTGGATTTGGCATTTCTGAACAAGCCAACAGTTGCATGCATTTTCTTTTATGAATCAAGATAAAAACCAATTCAAAAATGGAATCACTTTAGTCACCGGTTTTCAGATCAAATGATCAGCTTGTAATGTTTTTAAAACTTTAAAAAGTATATATAAAATAAAATCAAATAAATGGCCGGTTCACGGGTCAAATGATTCGACCACCCGGATCAACGACGGTTTTAAAATCATGCTATGAACCGTCCATATCGAAGGTACCCGATCAGATGGCTCACCTGCTCCATAAAATGCTTGTTTTTGGATTTTAATAGCCGACGACCAAAACGGCCCATTCTACGTGTATGGGCTAATGCGTTGTATAACAGTCCTTTCGTTCGATCCATTTTGAATGTGGGCTCAACTCTCAAGTACGACGGGTTGGCAGAAGAATGAATTTGGAATCAAAACCAATTCGTCCGTTACAGCTATTATTATTTTAAAATTTTAATGGGGGCATAATGGCATGCCGTAGATTCTGACACGCATTCATTTTCTTCAAATTTAACTTATGGTGGCGTCTCTTTATTGATCCCATGTGACCCTAATTGGCGTCTCCGGTAGAATATGCCCCGACAGGTCGGGCCTTGTGCTTGTTTTGCCGACCCGATGACTATCAGGTTGTGCGGTTGCTAACATATGGACCACCTGTAGACCCCCATGATAGGGCCTCTTCGGTTGTACTCTCAATTCTTTATTATCCATCACTCAATTCATATTTGTTTGATTTATTTTTCATCGGTTCATGAATCATGACTCAACCTGACGAGCTAATTTGGCCCTCCAATGGAATCGTGTCAGGTAAGGGAGCTTGGTAGGAGCAGACCAGGGACTTCGGCAAGAGTACACCGGCGACTTACATGACATGACAACTGGCTTCTATTATGTGTGACTTATTGTTTCCAATTCCTTTGGGATCACATTGCCTAATCGATAGAACTGATTTCCATGCTGCTTGCTTTGGATATAATTGGACAAGTCTTATTGTTATTCACTAAAATTAGGTCTGTAAGTCGGGCTGGATTAGGTTGGGTTGAGGCCAATTTTAGCTCAACCCGATGTTCTAAACCCCCAACTCTAACTCAACCCGACCTTCAATCCATCCTACTCAACCCTAACCCTAACTAATTCCTTCAACCCTAACCCAACCCGATGTCAACTTCAGGTTGGGTTGGGCCCAACCCAACCTTCCCATCCCTTAAAATCTAGTAGAAAAATAAGTATTTATTTATCATGAGTTATGACTTGTGATAAAATTTTTCTCAAAAATATAAATTCATGAAATCAACAATAATAAAACATAAAATTATGGAAATAAAATCACTAATAACAATTGATAGGATCAAGCAAATAATTTGAATCTATTTGATAGGTCACACATAAAAATTACAAGACAAAAGGAAAAGACAAGTAGTCAAGTACCCGTGAATAACTTAAAGAAAGGCATGATAGTATGTAGGGGGGCTATACAACTATCATGACATGTAGTAGACTAGTACTCTAGTACTATAGGGGGTTGGGTTCGGGTTGCCCGGGGGGTCAACCCTAACCCAATCCGAACTAAGGTCGGGTTCAAGAATTTCAATCCTAACCCTAACTCGATCATCAACCCGGCCCAACCCAGCCCAAGTTGCAGCCCTAACTAAAATCACCTCCAAGGGTGGTGGGCCGATAAGTCACATTTTCCCGAAAATCTTGGAGGCACTATGTGAGACTCATGCCTATATAAAGGCACCTCCTTCAACAACAAAAGGTATGCACAATTATGCACTTAATACACTTTTGCATTTACAACTTTCTTGCTCTCTTTTATTCATCGCTAATTTAAGCATCAGATGCCCACTCTGGTCTTACCGAAAAAAAAAAAAGATGCCCACCCTGGATACTCTTGCATTGTTCTCTTACAGCTTAACCTATTGACCTCACCAACCCAACGTCTGAACTATCCTCCAATAAGTAGCTATCGACTTCACCAACCCAACATCCCATGTGAAGTACGGACATGACCCGTTTTAACCTTATAGGTTCGACCCAGATCTGTCATCTTATATATATATATTATATATAAAGGATTTGGGTGCTCTTTGCACTCAAGAAATGGAATCTACTCGTGCGAGTAGATCCCACGTGCGAGCACCCATTTCTAATAATTAATTATTAATTAATAACAATAATAATTAAAAGGATATGGGTTCTCTCTACACTCAGGAAATGGAATCTACTCGTGCGAGTAGATCCCATGTGCGAGCACCCATTTCCAATAATTAATTACAGTAATTAATTATTAATTAATAACAATAATTACTAACTAATAACAACAATTATTAATTAATTATAGTAATTAATAGTGTAATCACCCATTTCCAGTAATTAGTTACTAATTAATTATTAATTAATAACAATAATTACTAATTAATTACAGTAATTAATAGTGTAATTATATAATTACTGTAATAATAATTACTGATTATGTTACTAATTAATAGTATAGTTATATTACAAATTAATAACAATAATTACTGATTAATTACAGTAATTAATTACTGTAATAATAATTACAGTACTAACTAATAACAATAATTATTAATTAATTACAGTAATTAATAGTGTAATAACATGCACCCATTTCCAGTAATTAGATACTAATTAATTATTAATTAATAACAATAATTACTGATTATCACAGTAATTTAATAAATATATAATTAGTGATTATAATTAATAATTACTGTTATTATAAATATTGTTAATAACTAGATATTTACTTTAACTTTACTTTAAATTAAAATTATAAATATTGTTATTAAAAAATACTGTTAATAAATTTAGTAACCCAATTTTAATAATTACTGATTATTACAGTAATTTAATAAATATTGAATTAGTGATTATAATTAATAATTACTGTTATTATAAATATTGTTAATAAATAGATATTTACTTAAATTTTACTTTAAATTAAAATTATAATCACTGTTATAAATAAATATAGTAATTATTGTTATATTCAAAATAATTAAAAATGTTATTAAAAGTATTGTTATTGATTATTTAATAAAATATTATAATTACTGACTATTACTAATAAATACTGTTAATTTAATTTAATTTTGGTAATTATTAATTTAATGAATATTGTTAATAAATCCTCTTCATAAATTTAATAATTACTGTTATATTAAAAATAACTAAATAATATTATTAAAACTATTTAATAATTAGGGCTGTTCACGGGTCGGGTTGGGTCGGGTTACTGGCGCTTTTCCAACCGACCCGACCTGGTCGGTTTACCTAGAAATGAAATCGAAACCGACCCAATGCAAAGTAAAACCGACCTGGTCGGTTTGAATCGGTTTGGGTCGGTTTTGTGAATGATTCTCTCGGTGTGAACGGTAAAGGATTCAAGTCTAACAAAGCAAAGGCTGGCTGCTTGGAAATTAAAAATGATTTGATGGATTAAAACTGATATTTTATAAATCAGAAATTTTATATATAATATGTATATTTCTGAAATAAAGCTGATATATATTTCTACAAATATATATCTGAAATATATATTAAAACTGAAATATATCAATATATATATATGATATATCTGAAATATATTATCTATATATATAATATATCTAAGTCAGTTCAGGTTGGTTCGGTTTGTGAAAACCGAAACCAAACCGAACTATTGGTTTATATCTTTTTATAACCCGAAACCGACCAATGCTAAAGAAAAACCGACCAACTCGGATTGAATCGAACCGGGTTGATCGGTTTTAGTCTTATTATGAACAGCCATACCTACTTTTTTTTCAAACCGAACACAACCTAAATAAAAATCCACGCAGGAAAACATGTGGCCCCTGCCGAGTTGCCGACAACAGAATAACTGAATAACGAGTTGGAAAAACAGAAATTCCATGTAGAATACATTGGTTTTTCGTGCGTGATGAGAAACAACACATCAGCTATTAAACCAAGATTCACCCTTATTCAATTTCAAGCTTAATTTATACGAAAATTATTTAATCATATATATATGTGACACATTGAAATCCAATATATCTATATATAACTATCATATAAATATATATTTCCTTTCGAATACAAAGTCGACACAGAGAAAAGAAGCATTCATTACTTTTTTTTTTTTTTTTTGTTTTGTTTTGTCCTTGCCCTCCTCGAGTTCCTTCTCTCAGGCTTTCTGATCTTCGTCCTTCTTGGAAGGGACACGGCCATCGTTTCCGGCGAGCATCTCGTACTTGTCCTTCCTCGTCAAGTTTGTGCATTCGAACCCTAGGGTCCCAGACAGCACCCTCTGGATATAGTTAGCAACTTCAATTGCCGACTTGCCTCCTCTACATGTAAGCTCGGTAGGCAGTTGGTTCAAGAAAGTAATCTCAAAAGTTGGCCTTGGGTTCATGAACACGAAATAAGGATCCATGAATTTAAAGCCGCGAGCAGTAGTTCCATAGAACATGCTTTGATTGGTATTAATGGCCACAGGAACGATCCTATCGGTGAGCTCTGCAAACAGTGCACTGAACCTCAAAAGGAATGGTTCCCTACAAGTGGTTCCTTCAGGGCAAATCACCAAATCTCCTTCCTGGAGCAAACGCTTGATGTTGGCAGCGTCTTTCTCTCTTTCCCTTGACAAGGCCACAGCCTTGATTGGGGAGATTAGTTCAGAAAATTTACTTATGCTGTAAGTGACACAACTTATCTTTCTTCCCAAGGCCACAGCAGTGACCACAGGGTCCAGTATGGTCCTGTGATTGCAAACAAAGAGGACTCCGCCTTGACCATTTGTGGGTGGTGGGGGAGGGTTTCCCTTCACAATTAGCTTGATTCCGAGGAAGGCATACATGTATTGAGCATACCTTTCGGGCAAGGGAATGTTGAGGTAGACCCTGAGAAGAGAGAGGATAAAGCCAATTGGCATCCATAAGAAGGTCAAAAGGGCAGCCAGAGGGCTGGGTCTCTGAACAAAACGCCCCTCGTGAAATATGACTGGGCTTAGAAGCTTGTTTCTAGGCAGGGGATTGCACTTGCTCCTTGGTACCATGTAGCCTTCCTGCAAATTTTAATTTTGAAGCTTCAGTTTCTTTCACACATTTTTACAAACATTGGCCGTGCATAAATTAATGATATTGGTTTTCAACTTTCCATCCACTCCAAACCAAGTCTAAGTCGTGGGAGATTTTAGAAATTACTTTTGTGTGTGAACTGTGAAGCCCCATACTTTACTTTCATTTTCATTTTTATTTTTATGTTTCTTTAATTTAATTTCAACCAAACACGTCACTTTTCACGGGCCATCGTATCATTTTCCATGCAACACAAGAATAAAGGAAAGGCAAACTGGTGAACAGGGTGGGTGGTTGCTAGAAAGCATTTACCAAGACAGTCCAGTAACAGTGACACATTTGATCCGACTTCTCTGTTTTTGTCCGGCTTTATCATGTAAAGGACTAGAGTTATCAATACCTGTAATTACTTTTTGTCATTAGGTAGGAACATTGGTTCAACTACTTCTAACTTATGAGATATTTTCACCATGACGTAACGGGATCGGGCAATTAGGCTCCGCTCATCTGGGTCCCTACATATATTTAAGCCTCAGTTTGGATTTGGAAAGAATATAAATGCAAATATATTATATATACTTGTTTTTGTAGTCCTTCCTTCCAAACTGAGCCTAACATCCAATAGCAAATTAGGAATCGGTCCCAACTCTATCGGTATCAGACTCCGAGTAGACGGATCTACAATTTCTCATAAGAGGAGGAAGAAGAAAAAAAATCCACTTTTGAGTTTTGTCATTTTGTCTCAAAACCTTTTTTTTTTTTTACATGTTTTTTAAATTTCCTCGTACCGGATCAGCTAATTCTATTAATTTCATTTGGTGGATCAGTGTGGACCCACTTGTGCAGTACCCGGCTCCAACCAAACAAGACCCGAGACGGCCGCATATGATAGGGTCCGGATTTGGGTTTGAATGGACACTTCTATCAGTGTCCAACCCAACAACTCAACAAGACCCCTCGTACTTATCTAAGAGCGTACAGCCACCTTTTTTTTTTTTTTCTCTTTTAACTGAAATTATTATTTTTTGTTATGAAAACTTAGAACAATTTTTAGAGTTTTTTAAGCTACAATAAAATACCATAATAAACATAAAAAAAAATCAAATTTACATAGCATGCGCATGTTAAGAAAAAAAGCATATAAACACAGATTAATTAGTAATATAGACTCGGAAAATGAATTCCTTGTTGATATTTCGAACAGTCAAAGCATAACTGAAATGTGATGTTATTGCATCATGGAAACTCAACAAATAATCTAGATTTAGACCTTTGACATAGGTCTATTCTATTCTATCAAATCCAGAGATACAGCAATTTTAGTCAAGCAAGCATCATGATTCTTAATGAATATGGGAGAAAAAGTAATGGCGAAATGAAGAAGATAGACAGTGGGAATGACAAATTTGAATTTCCCCTATTTGTCCTATCATGTTCATGGGGTTGACGTTTGGGTGAATTCTATCACATATCTGGGCTGTTAGTTGAGTCTGTGACCCAGTTAAGCACATCCACAAAAGCTTCACATGAATAGAGATAGATCCCAAGTGGACCAAGCAACAAATTGGCCGGCCACCTTTCTAGTTGTGTTGTTGCGGGAGTGAAGGAAGCAAGCCCATGCGGCTGTCATATCTTTCAGAATAAGATTTCTAGTTATTGGTGCCATTGAAGAAAAGTTAAGAAGAAGCGGGGATGGATTTGGAATTCTCGATGAAGAGATGAAAATATAAGAAGAAAAAGATATGCAGAGGAACTCATAGGGTGGTCTCAGTCGTATTTACTCCTACCATCCCCATAAATCCCGGCCTGTACCAGTGTCTACAGTCTACGGAGAAAGAGAGAATTTGGGTGAAATGTGATAGACAGCAGATCGAGAGGCATGGCCAGCTGGCCATCAGGTCTGGATTGGTCTCAATTCCTACATCACCTGTCACAGAGACAAGGGGATCAACTCAGACTCCCCTTTGCTGTTTCACAGGTGTCCATTTACAGAGTGTAAAATTACTCGAACCTAATAATAACCTTTAACATGTCCACATCTGTACAGAGTGGAAGGGAGAGTACTGCGGAATTAAGACAATCATAATATTGAGAAAGACAACTGACAACCACCTCTCCCTTTGTATTATTCGACGTACCTGCCACCTCGAGATGTTCATAATTTGGCCAATCAGTTGATGACAGATGCCAAAAGGTTTGGGACATTTGGGGCCGGGTGCTATTTCCTAACTTTGCCTACACCGTTTAGCATGGGACAGTGTAATTATAGGAAAAGGAGTGCAAATTGGAATTGCATCGAGAGAAGGAAAACTAACAAATTTGTATAGAACAAAATTAAAAGAGAACTTGTTGCGCAAGAGAGGTTTCATGCAAATGATAATGCATGGAAACTAATGATCGATCCATAAAGAGATGAAAACGAGACCAAAATGAAATAGGAAAAGTTGCATTTATATATATATATATATATAATGAGATCAAACCTTGCACAGGTACATGAAATCGTGGTCGGTTTCTCTATCTCCCATGCCCACATCCGGTGAGTTTTTGCCGAATTCCTGTTCGACAGCAGCTCTCTTGTGCTCTCCAACCAGAACACCTGGTTTCTTGGCGAACCCAGTGAGCCTTCCAGATTTGAAAACTTGGAGCTCGGTCCCTAGGACCTTGTCAGCCCCAAGATAGGACTTCACAAAGGGTTCCACCATAATCCTTGGATTTGCAGTTATGATGTAGCGTTTGCCAAAGGAACTGAACACTCTCCAACTCTCAGGGTGCACATCGTCAGCGTAAAATTTGGGCAACACGGACCTGGACACCAACTCGACGTCTCTTAACTTCAACCCCGCGAAGGAGATGAAGATGAAGATCTGGATAGCAAATGATTCGGACAAGAATAGGTAAATGAAGTATACAATGGGGACGGATGCGAGAAGAAGCAATCCCCTAACAAGGCTTCCAGCTTCTAGCGCAACAAGCATGAAGTAAGGGAATGCACTCCGAGACACTAGAAGAGTGCCATCCAGATCTGCGGCCACTGTTTGGTTGGACCGCCCCTGGGAGCCACAACTGGAGATTGGTTTGAAACGCGGATGAGCCCCCATGAGACAGACCGACAGACAGAGAGAGAGGGAGGGGATAGAAGTGGTGGGTTATATTATGGGGAGGATTTAAAAGGTGGGAGATTGCATTGTTGTTAGAAAGAAGCGAAAAAAAATAAGTGGATTGATTGTTAAAAGCAAAACGGGGGTGTTAAGGATTATGTGAGATACGTTTGGTGTATAAATAAGGGCAGATGCAAGGAGGAGG